ATTGTAGAGAGTAAAAAGAGATAGAATTTTATAGAGAATGCAATAAAAATGAGGGCATTATGGTAATTGACTAAGGGACAAATATGGAATTTATAAGAAAGTATAAGGGCAAAATGGGAAAGTATGTTTGTAAAATAAGATATTAAGGGTTTAGCCTTACAAACCCCCTTATTTCTCTTCTTCCACCGCCACTTTCCTTCTCCATTTTCTTTCAACTTTTCACTCAATTTTCCAAGGATTTTTGAGGGCTTTTGAGTGGATTTTGACAAGGTTTTGGTTCTAGTCAACAAGAGGTAAGAATTCTTGCTCTATATATAAAATTTACTTGTGTAGAAGTTGAATTCTTATTGAGTTTATGCTTAGGGTTAAGGGAAAATTTGAGTCTAACAAGAGTAAAGAGCTTTAGTAGAGACTACTCGAGTATAAGGTAAGTAAATCTAACTCAAAATTCAACTCAAGTTAAAGTTTAAAAAATCAATTGAGCAGAGATTTCTGTAAGCATGTATATGTTATTGATTGTTGGGAAATTGAGATGAGATTGGTGATTATTTATACTTGTTGTTGGATATATTTGAGTATGAGAAGTAGTAGAGTTTGTATATGCACATTTATTGTTTGATGAAATGCCTAAGAAAAGCATGAGTATGAGCAGAAACCTTAATTTTATACAACATTGCATATTTGCATTTCATGAGTGCATTTAAGTAAGAATTCTAAGCATGAGCCATCCATATGCATATATTTGTATATATGTAGTACTTCAGAAAGAATAAAGAATATTAAGAATGAAACACTCTAAGAATAAAGAGAAAGAAAGAAAAAGCACTAAAGAATTAAAGAAAGAAAATTGTTAAAGAAGAGAAAAGAATGAGTTGTTGTGTTGGAAACTGTGAGTGCTAAGAAGAAATTCCCACATACATGTCACCTTAATTGAGTGGAATAAGAAGAAAAAGAATTGTACGACCCGTAAGCGTGTATGTGGATGAGGGTTATACCAAGAAGAATTCCTACATGCACGCCACCTTAATTGAGTGGCCTAAGAAGAAAGAAAGAATTTGTATGGTTCGCAAGAGTGCATATAGATGATGACTGTACGCACTCACACAACCAAGGTTCCGAATCCATGCATCAACCGAGTCTGATTAGCAAAAAATAAGAAAAGAAAGATTAAGAATAAGAAAAAAAGGGATAAGAAAGAACAAGAACAAGAAAGAAAAGAGAAGCTTGAGCAAGCAAGACAAGAAAGAAAAGAAAAGAAAAGAAATAGAACAAGAAACAAGAAACAAGAAAGAAAAATGCATTTTTATGCATTATTGCATATGCATATCATTAAGGTTGTGCAAAAAAATCTGATATCCGATATCCGATCTGATCCAAAAAAACTGGATATCCAAAAATTCGAATTGAATTCGGATATCAATTTTTGGAATATCCAGATTTCGGGTCGGCTCCACAAAGATACCGGATATTCGGATTCGATCCGGTTTTGTCCATAACTACAAGTTTTAAGAAGTTATTTTGAGGTCCTAGGTGAAAAGTGGTAAAGTATATGGACTATTTAGAAATACGATGACAACTTTGGGAGTCAAAATGTAATAAAATGATGATGTAGTAGGGGGTAATAAGAATAATGCAAAATTTTAGGGGATAAATTGATATTTTTCATACAAATTTGGATAAAATCGGATATCCGGTTTATTCGATCCGAATATTCGGATTGGATCAAAACCGGATCAGATGAAATCTGGATCAAATTCGAATCAGGTTTCATCCTGATCTGAATTTTCGGATCGGATCAGAAAAATGCAAAACCGGAGATATCTGGTTTTGCGCACCCCTACATATTATTCATGTATATTACCATGAATTCCATCATGGTTAGAAAGAATAGAAAACATTGAAAGAAAGAACAGAAAGAAAGAAAGAACAACGAGAATTAGGAAGAAAGAAATAACAGTAAGAATTAGAAACAGAGACAAAAAAGAGAAAGAAGTAAGAACGAAAGAAAGAAGAAGAGAATTAAGTAAGGAAAGAACCAAAGAAGGAGAAGAGATAAGGGATTTACTTACTGAGCATTTTTGTGTTTACCCCGTTATTTTCCATGTTTTGCAGGAAATAGGTGAGCAGCGGTCGAAAGGAAGTCGACAAGCGGAGAGAATTGGCATTACTGTCCACCGTTGCTAAAATTTTTGTACTTGTTATTTTGGTATATATAAAGAATTATATTTTATAAGTAAAGAAAATTTGGGCCCAACTATTTTTCATATGCTAAGTATGTATGTTTTTATTGTATATATTCTAAAGTATATTAGTAGAAAGAAGTCATTACATTCAAACCTTTGGACACTGGTTTGACCCACCAGTCAAACTGGTTAAATCGGTCAACCAGGGGACCCAGCCACTTTGCGGGCTTTTACCCTAAGTTGGGTTTTAAAACATTGTTCAACTTATAGACGGTAAAATCTACACAGCTTTACTATAAATTAATTAGATAATTTTATTTAATTTAATATATATAATATGGTGAGAATTTATAGAAAGAAAATTGTAATAAAAATGAGAACTATTCTATGATGCCTCACAAAATCACCAGCCTGTTATTTGGTGCGCACCTCAATTAAAAGTAATCCGTTAGATAAGCCACAAACGTGGTAAGTGGTCATTTTGTGGGTTTTGAACACAAAACCTCTAGATAACCTAAAGTCTTACCATCATGCTACAAGCCAAGCGAATAAACAACAAAATAAGTTTGAGCAATGCTACAGCTACCGAAAAAGCGCACCAAATTCGTGCACCGAATGACATGGCGTAATCCTAACCGTTGATTAATAGTAATTCATAATTAATCAACGGTCAGGATTGCGTCATGTCATTCGGTGTACGAATTCGGTGTGCATTCTTTGGTAACTGTATTATTTTCCAATAAGTTTTGGATTGTTTGTTGGATTTGTTTGTTCTCTCTGCCGGTCTATTGTTACAGCAATCAATTATGTAGAAACTGATAAACCTATTTATATAAGTTTTTGGCCTGTCATATTTGCTTTTGGTTTACTATGTTCTAAGAGAAATGCTATGTGTACTAACCAAATTATACTAATCAAGATAATTGAAATTTTGAATTTTTTTTTTTTTTTTTTTTTTGTTTTTGGGGTGAACTGATGTGGCAATAAGAGAGGTCTGCCATGTCAGTTAGTACTTGGGTTAGTATGGTTTGGGTTAGTGCAGATAACATTATTCATGTTCTAAGGTGTTAGAGAAACAAGAGAGAAGGGCCATTACTACTATACTAGCATTTAATAGAAATTGCTTGGTGAAAGTTTCTTTATAAGATGGGTAGTTAGTTCACAAAGATCTTTAACAATTACGAGATTTCCAGAATATTTTCATTTGGAGCATTACTAAACATATTAAGAAAACTGACGTAACATAAAATGAACAAAACAATATAAAATAAAACCTGAATCCGATAAATATATGATACAGTATGGAAAAGATTAATGCGATAAACGTAATAATAGTTCGTATACTCCCATGTGTATTTGTATATCAGTAATTATTCTCAGAACTTACAGAATAGCACCACAAATGTAAAGAGCATACCTTACCATGTTCTTGAAGTGGGAGCACAAACAGGATCAGTAACCAAAGATTTCCCATCTCGAGCTACTAAATTTTATTGATCTTATTAGTTAGTAGGGAAAGACTCACCCTTATATGCAGAGAGAATTACCAATTTGTCCCTGTGATTTTGTTCTACACGTGTCAAGGATACTCAGTTTCATATATCAACAGTTTTGTTATCTTGAGTAGTCGAGATGGTTAAGGCGAATTGGGAATAGTATGAATAGATGCACGGTCTCTGAAGTTTAACTCCTTATTTGAGTATCCGTAATTTAAGTGAGAGACTATAGCAATGGATTGCTATATAAATCTCCTCCGATGATTAGTCGACGCGTACGTAAGTTAATCCGGAGACGATACTGTTTTTATATATGTATAGAGAGAAAAGTATTCCACCTACCGGTCTACTAGTAAAGTAATACGTAGCAAGCAGCCAGCATGACATAACTTTTAACCAAATCAATATATAAAATCATATTCAATATAGTATAAACTTCCTAGAATTTTCCCAGACGGGAATTTTCCTGGAAAACGTAAGCAAAGAAAAGCAGTGACCCCAGAAATTGCACAGAAATTTGAACCCACTCTCTGTCTCCGACCACTCTCCACCTACCATAGGCATAGCATAACATAACATCACTTTTGTTTACTTTCATGTAGTAACTTCATTTTCTTTTCCTTTTTTTTCACTTTTTCGGCTTTGAGCCGAAAACTCAACACAAGTTCCCTTCACCAGGTGGCCCGACAAAGACAGTGACATACTGTCCTCTGTGGAAGCTTACCCAGCTCAAAATTTTACTAATTTTCTGCAGTGGTTTTCTTCAAAAATCAAAATTCAAGATACCCTTTAACGATTTTGTCAAGAAATTCACCTCCCAATTTAGAAATATTAGTCTGTTCTGTCTGCATCTCATACATCAGAAAGAGATTTTCAATATGGTCTAATTCTACTAACATCCATTTATATTAATAATGTTAACGCGTTAATGCAGAAAATTTGTTGCCTGTAACTTTAGAACATTCACTCATAATGTGATTCCATAAGCATATTCTAAAAGTATAAATCGAAAAAGACTCGATTTTGTAACGTTCTGAGTGTGTCTGATCCACTGAAAATATGAAACTTTTCATCAGGTAGACGCGTAAAGTGCAGAATTTTTATATGTAATGTAACATTCCCACCAACTTCCTGGATCAAATATGAGTCAGTCACGCGGCAAGTCTTTAACTCTTTTATCAAATCAAGAAAACATGTTTTTTTTTTTTTTTTTTTTTTTAAGTGTACTTTTCAATCATTACGCGGTTAGTTCGTTACCTTGAATTTCAACGTCCTGAGTATCTCGAGTTCTTGTCATTACGAATAATTTATTTTTGTCAATTTCTGGTGTTTCTTTAATGGAGTTTGATAGGTGATAAGTACAAGAAGGTTGGTTGATTCTTTGGAGTATCCAAATAGATTTTGGTTTAATTTATTATGCAAATTTGTTCATTGGTTCACAACTTTACGAGGGTATACTCTTGACTGTTTTATACCGCGTTTTTGGAAGTCATTTTAGTTTTAAAATGAAGCTTCCATGTTGCTTCTGGGTTGCTAGTCAATGTAATTTATTCCCTATTTAAAGGGTTCTAAGCAAAAGTTTAGGGTTACGCTTGTACCAATTTTTTTTTTGGAAAAATCAAACTATCTTTTCTGGAATTTGCAATGACACTGAAGAGGGCTTTTCAAGGTGATGATGGTGATGGGTTTGGAGGTTTGAGTCCTGACACTAAGAGGAGAGTTACTTTCAAGAAGTAAGTGGCTTAAACTTAACTTAATGCATGGTCTGAGTTGAAACTGGGCTTGTTTTTGAGTTTTTTAGCTGTTTTTCTGATTCTGGGTTTTGTGTGACTTGTTGCAGAGCTGTTATAGATGTCATGAAAGGGATCTCTATTGATGAAATGGTCGCCCGAATGGAGCCATATCTTCGCAGAGTGGTAAGAGAAACCTGCGTGCTTGTTATAAAGTTTCATATTTGTTATGGTCTAAGGCATCATTTCATTTGCCTGTAGATAGTTTGGATTTTTTTGTTTTTGCTTTTGCCAAAATCAACTTGCCATACTCAACAGATTCTTCAAAAGTTTGATAGTTTGAAACGTTTGTGTTGTAGCTGTCATGACCTTTCTTTTGTCTTGTCTTTGCCCTGTAAAAGGGCTTGATTATCAAAGTTCAACTTGTTCATCTAGTACAAAAGGAACTCTTTGTGCTGTATGTTATTTGGTTGGTGTTAAATCTCTTCCTGTACATGTTTTAAATAAGTTGATTATAGAAATAGGAGTTTCATTTTGTTTTTTTCCTACTGTTGATGAAGAATTTATATGGGCATAGATTCTTAATAAACCATTTTTAAATCATTGAATTTATCTTCCATATATCTTTGTTTGTTAGGTGCGAGATGAGGTGGAACGTGTGATTCTGCCTTTCATTCACCAGACTGCAAGGTTAGTTCTTGTACTGACGGTTATTTCTCAGTATTTACAGAGTCCTATATGAGTTGAGTTTGGGATTGATTATGGCAATTTATATTGATTGGCTCTCATACAAATCAAGTTAATCTTCCCCTTTGCAATCTTTTTTGGTTCTTGTAGGGGGGAGCAGATACTTTTAGATCTTAATTTTTGCCCAGCTGGCAGTAACTCTTAAGCTTAGAACACATAATCTGAGAAAATTTTTCTGTATAATCAGCACTTGACATGTTTTAGACCCCAAATAATTGATGGATTGATTTTCTGTTTCTTTAAAATATCATTTGTATTATCCTTCAAGGTTTGCTGTTGTTGGATCTTGCTTCCTTCAAAGCTTCCCTTCATGGGTATAATTTGATTCTCTTGTGCTCCACAAATCTATGCAGCTTAGTGGTTCTCATCCTTTTTACTATCTCAAGAGTCTAATTTGGGTTTTCTTGTTAACTCTTTCCCAGAACTTCATTTGATCAAGCTGAGACATCTGAAAAAAGTCGCGTGCGGTTGGTTTTTGATAACAAACTGCCCTCTCCAATCTTTACCGGCAGCAAAATAGAAGCTGAGGATGGGGCACCTGTTAGAATAGCATTGAGGGATACATATAGGGGGACTGTAGTGAAGTCTGGCCCACTCTCTTCGATGAAGATCGAGATCCTTGTCCTTGATGGTGATTTTTGTTCTGATGACCAAGAAGATTGGTCAGAGAATGAATTCAGAGCCAAACTTGTTCGTGAAAGAGAAGGTAAACGACCACTGGTGACAGGGGAGCTCACTGTTACTCTAAAAGAGGGAGTTGGTATCATCAGTGATGTAGTTTTCACCGACAACTCTAGCTGGATGAGGTGCCGGAAGTTCAGGTTAGGAGCTAGAGCTATGCAGAGAAATAGTGGTGATGTAAGAATCCAGGAAGCTAGAAGTGAAGCTTTTATGGTGAAGGATCATCGCGGCGAATGTAAGTTTAGATCATTTTCAGCTCTATTTGATATTTTTGATGTGTTCACTTGATTGTTAATTATGCTACTTCTCTGGTTAATTTATAAGTATACTTGAGTTTATGTGTCATAATACCGGTTTCTGGCCAATCCTAGAAGACTGATTACTGATATGTTTTTTCAGTATACAAGAAACACTATCCTCCATCCTTGGATGATGAAGTATGGCGCTTGGAGAAAATAGCCAAAGATGGCACGTTTCATGAGCGATTGGCTGATAATGAAGTTAAAACCGTGAGAGATTTCCTGCAGTTGCATACAACTAACCCCAAGATGCTACGCAATGTAAGAAAATTTTACCAGCATACTAAAGCAGTTTTGTGTTGTTTAATGAGCATTATGCGAATGATGCCATCTTAATTTTGGACAATATGCAGATGCTTAATGCCCCAACCAGGACCTGGGAGACAATTGTAGAGCATGCTATAACTTGTGTTGTGGATGATGAAAAGTTGTATGCTCATTCTGCAAATGCAGATGGGGTTATTCTGTTGTTTAATTCCATCTACAAGCCTGTAGCAGCCTCATTTGACGGCAAAGTTTATCAGTCTATAGATAATCTAAACAACTCTCAGAAGGTATGTATTTTATATCATGAAACTCTAAAGATTTGTTAATGAAGAAATGTCGCCATCAGAGTTATAAATTGAACAACTTCCCTCTTTTATTGGCAGTTTTTGGTGGAAAACTTAAAGAAACATGCTTATAAGCATGTGCAAGACTTTTTCGCGGTTGATGCACGTGCCATTTTAGGCCCTCAAAGGTGCTTAATGGATCTGCAGGCTGAACAATTCAATAGTCCAACTTCAATTCTGCAACATCATGAGTTCCCAGTTGCACAAGGTATATAATAAGCTGTAAATTATACACACATTATATGAGGATATTCATGATCCTAGTTCTCACTTTTGCTGAAACCATTAACTTTTACTTCTTCTTCAGAAATGCTGCTGGATCTTGACCATGCTTCGACTTCAACCTCTAATACTTATCAGGCGGTAGACTGCAATCAGTTCCAACTATCCCTACCACAAAACAGTCATCATCCCGTCCAAATGTTTAGTCCTATGCTAAGAAACAGCTTCAAAATGGCTGATTTTTTCCCCAATGAGGAAATCAGTTGGCCTTCTGGTGGTTCTCAAGGACAAATTGCGCCAAACTGTAACTTAGGCGTAGAGTCCATTTCTCCGGTTCCAATGCCAACCTGGTCTCCGATTAATCCCGTATGGGAGTCAGGCAATAGTTTTTTCCTTGCTCCAAGCAATGAATCCGAACTTGGCAGTGCTTCCTCTTTTCCCAACTTTGGTGTACATATGTCAAGGACTGGCAACCCTAGAGCAGCCTGGTGCAAGATCAAAGCTGCTGTAAAATGGGGATCAGTCAGGCGCCATGTGGCCGCCAAAAGAATGGCAAGGCCTTTCTATGTAAATCAACTGCTAGGCCCTAGCATTAATTAAGCATCCAAGAAGTTAGAAGATAAAGCTTCTGGTAGAGGTGTTATAGTTAGTTCTTTATGTAGTTTGTTTGCTGAGCATCCTAGAAGTTAGAAGGTAAAGCTTCTGGTAGATGTGTTATAGTTTAGTTCTGTATGTAGTTTGTGTTTTCTGGTAGCAGTCCTATTTATCCCTGCTTGTAAAAATTGCAGTAATGGAGGTGGTAGCATCTGCTAGATTTCTAAGCTTAACTTTCTTGCAATTTTTTTTTTCTTGTAACAAATGAAGCAAAGGTTTCTATGTACAAAGTTTTGAAATGATGTATAAGATGATCACTTTTATTCTCTATTTACCGTCAATGTATATATAAACAAGTACACATGAGCTATCACGTTATTGCAAGATAGGCACTCGTCCATGATTGGTTGGTTATACATACATCTGTTATTGTATATAGACCCTCTCTTTGTGTTTTGTATCGCCTTATATTCGCCATTAAGGATTATATTATTCGATTAAACTATCCAATTTGGTATCACGATGTTTGGTACTCTATTCAATAAAGCAACATATTGGAAGAGTTAAATATAATTTGGTCTTTGAGATTCAACATACAATCAACTAACCATGAGACGTCGCTTTTGCATATGTGACAAGCGCCCATATCTTATCGAAGACTCTCAATTTGGTGTAACGTACTTACAACCAAACTAAACATGACATGCGATGACTCTAACTCATGATTAGTTGGTTTTAAGGACATATGTTATTGTATCGAAGACTCTCTCTTTTATACTTTGGTCTTCGAGGTTTGGTTTAAGTTATGTCTAGTAGAATATGAAAGTACCATTAGGTCCTTGTCAGTTAATAATTATTTAGGGGAATTTTAGACTTGTGTTCTGTTAACTAGTAAAAACATAGGGTGAGTTTGGTTCCATATTATTATCCATATTCTCAATCCTATTTCCCAAATGTTGTTTGACACATTATTTGAGAAATATTATTGTATTTTTTAAAATATTTTAGACCCCTTAAATTTATTAATTTCATAAATACCCCCAGAAAAAAGTTTAAAAAGTAACAAAAACACCCCCTAAACCCGTACTTGTCAGATTCCGGCAACCACCATCGGTGGTAGCCGGAATCTGTTGCAACGGCCTACACCACGACCGAAAAAGGCCGATAATTCATCGATCTAGCCTTTTCCGGCTAGATCCATAATGGATCTGGTCGGAAAAGGTCAGATTTGGTCGTCGCAAAGAAATGGTTGTCGTTGACGGTCAACGACAGCCAAATCTTGGCCATCGTTGACCGACAACGACAGCCAAATCTTGGCCATCGTTGACCGACAACGACTGTCATATCTTTGGTCATTGTTGACAGCTAATGATTGACTTTTGTGGCCGTCGACGGCCACATCTGGCCTTCGATCTGGTTTTTTTCGGTCAGATCTGTGGTGGATATGGACGAAAAAGGTCATATCGACGCGTTACGACACAGATCCGACTAGTTTGTGTCGTAATACAATTTTTCTACTAGATTCCGGCGGTGGTGGCCAGAATCTGGCACTGCGGGTGGTGGAGGTGTTTTTGTTATTTTACAAAAATTTTATATATTGGGGTGTTTAGTTAAATTAGAAAACCTAAGGGTTTTTTAAAAAATTTTAAATTTTACCTCATAATACTTCCCTATTTAACTACCCAATATTATTCTGAAAATCCTATCCAAAATAATAAACCAAACATACCCACAAGTGTTAGTTTTAGATTCTACTGGACCTTACTGTACTTAGGCCCATGTCAAGGGACCAAAAATAACTCCGAATTGGACCGGTCCATTAGAACTAGCCCAAACACTTTATCCAAACCCAAACAAATCGGGTTAAAGCCCAAACGCAATGGTAACCAGCGTAATTTATCTCAACCACGATGGTAATTAGTTAATTACACACCTTCAATGAAAAATATCTCCTGTCCTGTCCAAGTAAAAACTCTTTATCAGGCCGAAAACTCTCGAACCTTCTTCCTTCATATCTTCCGCAACCGCAAGATATTTTCTCTCTCTCTCAACAATCAATTATCTCATTTAACCCCCAACACACATTATTAAATTAAAAAAGATTCAATATTTGATATTTTCCCCTTCGCAGCCAGCCAAACCCACTTTCCCATTCTCTCCCTTGTTTTCTCAGCCTTTCTTTCTCTCTATAAATTTCATCTTTGTTTTCTCTCTTTCGTTTCGTTTCTTTATGATTTGATCTTTCGTGGCAGGTCGTCACACACACAAAAAAAAGAAAAAACAATGGATGGAGAAGAAGGAGGAGGTTCCACCGCCGCATCCTCTTGCTACTACTCTGTTCTTGGCCTCCGCAAGGACGCCTCCTTCTCTGATATTCGCTCCGCCTATCGCAAACTCGCCATGGTACAGTTTCTTCCTTCTACGGATCTTCAAAATTTGAAGTAATTTTTTGTTCTTTCAATTTTTCAGATATTTGAGATTAGAATTCTTATTTGTGGGTGGTGGTTTTTTTTGAAGAAATGGCATCCGGACAGGTTTGCGAAGAATCCAGGGGTGGCGGGGGAAGCGAAACGGCGGTTTCAGCGAATCCAGGAGGCTTACTCTGGTAACGTTAACATAACCCCGATTAATTGACACCGTGATTGTTTCTGTTACTGGGTCCGATGACGGCCGTTAATTGTTCCGTTTGTTTTAACAGTACTTTCCGATGAGACTAAACGGTCAATGTACGATGCCGGGCTCTACGAAGATGATGACGAAGTATCAACAGTTCTCAGCTTTTGTTTTAGTTCTAAACGATGTCGTTTAATGATAATTTTTCTTTTGTGATTTTTCTGATGTGTTTTTGCTGTTGTGCCCTTGAATTTATTGAATTTGCAAAACAGGACTTCTATGATTTCATGGAAGAGATGATCTCCATGATGAACAATGTAAAAGGCGAGGTATACCCCTTGATTTCTTACTTTTGGTATACTTTTTGGAGGGTATTATGGTGAATTGAAAATTACTTTAATTTTCGGTTTTTTTAATTTTAATTTAATTAGGGAGATAGTTTTGAGGACCTTCAAAGGATGTTCATGGAGATGGTGGATGGAGACAGCATGAGCTTTGATTTCAAAGTCGATCAAACGGCTAGCAAGAGACCACGTGTCAACACTTCGAATGGTAAACGCAGCAGTTCTGTATGTTGATGCGATGTGGTCGATCACATCAGATTTTGTTTGTTCTAGTCTTGTAATTCTCCCCAAATTTAAGAAATGTAATTTGATTCAATTGATTGGGGCATCAAATCAAGAGGGCCTTTTTAGATATGTGATGTGATGTGATGTGATGCTGAGTTGGATTATATTTTTTTTTCTTTTTTGGGGGGGTTGAAATTTATTTGTCTTTAGGGCTTGAAATTTGGAGCCTCTAGTAGGCTTTATAAATAAAAATCTCTCTTTTAATTTTATATATTTGATGTGACAATTTCTTTTTAATTTTATCCTGCTGTCAGCCTTTCACCAAAGAGAATTGAATTATTGCTTTATTGACATTTGTCATATGCGAATTGGCATAATAGGATTGATGGTATAGAGTTGTACTCCATGTGCCACTTTTTTGCATAAATTAATATGAGATTTAATTAGCTTTTGGGTGTATGATTAAAAAATGTATGGGTTTGATTCTCTTTCGGTTACTAATAAAAGGAGTTGTTAAAGTTAGTCTATATATATTAATTATTTAGTGTTGTAATTATTAAATAATAAAATGTGTCACCTATCCAGGGTGATTGGGGATGAAGTATCTCATATAAATATTTGTAATTTAAGTGGGGGGTTTTTGCGATGGGTTGTTGTCTTATTTTTCTTTGAAGATTAATTGAGGTATGCGTAAATTGGTTCGTATGTTTAGATTAAAAAAAATAATGTGTCACTCATATATAATACTCTTTCTATTTTTATATAAAAGTCATTTTAAGGGTATAATAATTTTTTAAATTAAAAGTCAGTTGCTTTTTTGTCTTGTCTCCCTTCTCACTTTCCGTCATGGTGTAGAGGTCAATAATTATCAGAAGAATGAGTAGAATAAAAGAAATGGAATAAGATAAATGTAAATTATTTAAATATACAGCGAGAAAGTTACCCATCTGCAAAATCAGGGGAAAAGAAAAAACTGTAGCGAGAAAGTTCCTTATCTGCAAAATCAGGGAAAAAAGGTGGGTGGGAGAAACAACTTTTTTTTTATTAAAAATCATGTACACCCTTAAAATGACTTTAATATAAAAACGGATGGATTACGATCAAATTATAATGTAAACTTATAACTAATAATTTGTCATCTATTATATATGATATAAATGTATTTAAATAATCTTATGCTTATCTTATCCACGAATCAAATATATCTCGTTATGAAGCTTGTCACCCATGGTATTTGGTATGACACATAACACATATAAGACAAGTGTAAAGACAAGAAACTTTATCTAATTATTGAATATTTTTTAACACCACAATGGTATAATAATCATATTATCACTACATTGGAATCTATAAATAAAATAATAATAATAATAAAATAAGTATATCAATCTAATGTAATGGGTATTTTGCATAACCATTCTGGCTCCGTTTGGTTCACAATTTTGGTTTTTGGGAAAAGTTTTTTGAAAAAAGTAAAAAAAAATTGAATTGGGCGGGTATTACGATGTAGGATTTACAAATTAAAAATACCCCTATGTTTGTTTTTTTACAAAACACCCCTTATAATAAAACATTAAAAGTTAACAAAAACACCCCCAATCTACCCTCAAATATGGACAGCCGGCCACCACCGCCGGAGGGTGGCCGGAGTCGCCGTAACAAAAACATTAAAAATATTTAGGGGTATTTAATTGAATTAATAAATTTAGGGGGTTTAAAAAATGTTGAATAAAGTTGAATAATATTATGAGTTTTGGGTATTTTACTGTTAACTTTTTAGGAATACTAAAAGTAGTATTCCCAAAATCCAACCAAACGAAGCCCTTACACTACCAATGAGTCTTGGGATGAGGGATATGAGCTTTGGGCCATGTGACGGCAGCTTCTATTGCATGGTTCAGATTATTTGTCATCTTGGGTCAACATAAGTACATAAAAGAGGCTTCTAGTTCTTGCAACGTGGGGGATATTGTCTTTCCTGTGCTTTGTTTAATCTTTCTTTATTTGGAGGGCGGTGTTGTGTGTTGCGTGTGTGTTTTGTGTGGTCATATAATTCTTATCATGTAAAAGAATTGTAGGTGCAACTGCAATGGTTGGAGGAGCCGTGGAAGCCTACCTCTCTCACTTTGTACCAAATTACATAGCTTGACCAAAAAAAAAAAAAAAAAAAAGAAAAAAAAAACACCCTTTAATTGAAGTTTCATTATCAAATTTGCTTATGGGATATCACAAAATCGTTCAATTTAGTGGAACAAACTCTTGCAGAGAATTAGAGTTACCATGTTATTCTACTTTTATAAGATAAAATGCATTACTTTGAAAACAACCAGTTTTAAGGTTTAAGTTCCCATTAGACATCTACATGGCAAAAGACCAGTGTTTACTTTCTTATTATTTTCTAAAGTTCATTGGATTCAATTATCGAACTTGACTCTACAAAGCAAGATTGAAGGAGTTTTGAACTAAAAAAAAAAAAAAAAAAAAAATTAAAAACGAAAAAGATGCTAAGAAAAACATTAAAGTTCGACATTGACGTTGCCTTCAAATTTATATAATCTAGACTCATGAATAATGGGTATAATCTAAATAACCATGATCCTTACGTTTATATGGATGTTCAATGTCAAATTGGTTTATGGGATTAGACCAAGATAGGATAGAAATAAATAATATAATTTAGTGGAAGCAATTGGATAAATTCTGACGAAGAATGCACTTACTATGTTATCTATATTTCCATCTAATCAAATCATCCATTTGGTTTAAAAATGGCCAACATAATATAAGTTAGACTCATGATCAATTTTTAGCAATTGTAGCTTCAAGTGCTTCTTAATCATGGGCTTCTCACATGAATTGGGCTTTTCATTGGACGTTATGGCCCATCATTACTTCATCAAGCTCTAGGCCTTTTAATAAAACTAAGGCTCCGTTTAGTTCACATTTTTACGTTTTTGAGAAATTTTTTTTGAAAAAAGTTAAAAAAAAAGTTGAATTGGGCGGGTATTACGATGTAGGATTTACAAATTAATAAAATATCCTCCTATGTTTATTTTTTTACAAATCACCCCTATAATAAAACATTAAAAGTTAATAAAAACACCCCTAATCCACCCATCAAATACAAACAGCTGGCCACCACCGCCGAAGGGTGGCCAAAGTCGTCGTATCGGCGCATGACCTACTGGATTTTGCCGGTCATGCGCCGATATGGCCTTTGCCGGCCAGATCTATGGCTAGATCTGGCCATTGACGGCCAGATTTGGTCGCATTTACTCGTCAACAACTGCCAAAGATACGGCCGTCGTTGACGTCTGGTTACGGCCAGATCTTTGACCTTAGATCTGGCCTTTTCCGGCCAGATCCACCGTGGATCTGGCTGGAAAAGGCTAGATCGGTGCACTGCCGGTAAGATCCAGCCGATAGTGTGCCATCCTACCAGATTCCGGTCAACTTCCGACAGTGGTGGCCGGAATCTGGTATAATGTGGGTTTAGGGGTGTTTTTGCAATTTCAAAAAAAAATATTTAGGGGTATTTAATTAAATTAACAAATTTATGGGGTTTAAAAAAAGTTGAATAATATTTGATAATATTGTAAGTTTTTGGGTATTTTACTGTTTAACTTTTTTGGGAATACTAATAATAGTATTCCCAAAAACCAACCAAATGGAGCCTAAATATTTAAAGTAGGCTTGCAAACGAGCTGAGTCGAGCTGCTCGCAAGCTGTTCAGGCTTGACTCAAGTAGCTCGCATGTTGGGTTGAGCCAAGTTCAAGCCTAATAATACTCGACTTGAGCAGCTCGCGAGCTTACTCGAGCTCGACATATTATATAATATTTTAATTTTATATTAATATTATATAAATTAAATAATTAAATGATTTTATATGAATATTTTGATTTGATTAACCGAGTCGAGTTCAAGCTGATCATATATCTATTGAGCTCGATAACTTAAACTCAATCGAGCCCGAGCTTCGACTATTCCAACTAAGTTGAGTTCAAACTTCTCAATATTCGACTCGGCTCAATTGCAACCCTAATTTAAAGTATGAATTTTAGGTGCATTATTAAGAATTTTCATACAAAATCTTGTAATATTTTTATCATAAATTCATGAAAAAAATAAATAAATGACTTTACCTGACATTTTCAGGTGCGTTGGCCCCTCGTGGTGAAAATCGACATCTTTTGATGAGTTATAAGTTCAAGCATGATGGATAATGTAACCGTATTTAATTATTCATTTAAAATAAAATTAAATCATCGTTGCCACAATCAACAAAAGCAACACAATGTCGTTTTAGCTAATGAAAATTCAATCGCAATGGTTTTTTCCATAATAATATCCCGATCCATGTCTACTTTCAGACTTACCTCCTCCACACGATCCTATATAATCCCCTACAAAAGTTAATAATAGGTTTATGTTTATGTAAATGTTGACATGGGCGTTACCTTAAAATTTAAATAATCTAGAGTCTAGACTCACTAATAGTGAGTATAATCTAAATAACCATGATCATTATATAGAAATAGATGTTCGGTGTCAAATTAGTTTATGTGATTAGACTATGATAGGATAAAAAATAAACAATATAATTTAGTGGAAGTAATTGGATAAAGTGTAACGAAGAATGCACTATCTATATTTTCGTCAAATCAAATCTTTCATTATATATATTTAGTTTTAAAATGGCCAATCATAATCTATATTTAGAAATTGCAGTTTCACTTTCTTTTTAATCATGGGCTTCTCATTGGATTTATGGCCCATCACTCTTTCATCGAGCTCTAGGCTTATAATTGGCCTATGACTCTTTCATCAAGCTCTAGGCTTATAATTGGCCTATGGGCCGATCATCCATATTTATTCAATAATCAAAATATATAAATCTACTAATATTATTTATATATTTGTGAAAATAAATGGCATTACCTAACCTTTTTAGGTGTGCTGGCCCCCCTGGGTAACATCGACGTCGTTCAGTGAGTTCTATGTTAAAAGCGTGCTGGATAATGTAACAATAATTAATAATCCACTTAGAATAAAATAAAAATTAAATCAGCGAAAGCAGCACGATGCCGTTT